GAAGGCTTAGTGGACGCCCGGGCACGGGAAGCGGGGCGAACGCGGCGGAGCGCGAGACAGGGGGACATAGAGGTAAAATAAAAACGGGTGAAATTGGCTTTCTGGAGCACTGGCTCTGCCCCGGACGGCAGCAAGGTCGTCGGGAGGCTTTTATTAGAGCAGCGTGATGCGGCGGCTTGTCAAAACCCGATTAGGATTTACACAACTTTCTGACAGCCGGGAATCATGGGTAAGAAGGGGTGTGGGGGGGGGGGGGGGGGGGTGGCCGAGCGAGAATCCTCGGAGATAGGAGCAGGGGCGAGGAACTCTCCCATCCCATGGCCGTCACCTTCAGCGACCCTATGCTTCCCGCAGGGCTGCAGAGTGCAGTGACTGCCAGGGGGAGGCGGCAGAGAGACTTCATTCGCATCCAAGGCTGTTACTGTGCCCTGGCCAGAATGAATTAAACCTTACCATGCTCGCGGGGAATGTTTGTTTCGCTTTTACGCAGACCGCGCACGTTAACAACGTTACAAATCACCTCCCCTTCCCTGCTGCTCCGATGCCCCACTGGCTACTTTCGGCCGCGGTAATGACTAACCTCCAGCTTCCCTTTCCAGTGTTAATACTGTTTTCTCCGTGCCCTGTACCTGTCCTGCATGCTCTCCGTGGATATGCCCTGACCCCACTGCTGTATCCCATTGTCCTGGCCCAGGTTTAGAAATTGCAATTTTGACTTTGATGTGCAGTTACTTGTCGCGGGGACTGCACTGGTGCTTGCTGGGTGGGGGGGGGGGGGGGTCGTCGGCAGCAGAGAACAGGCCTCTCCCTCACCCGTAGAATTCACACGTCTGGTTTCCGAACAGCACAGATACGCTGCTCCCGGCTCCCAGGTTCTCCCCCAGGATGGTGACCTTGGTGCCGCCCGACTCAGGCCCTCGGCTGGGGGACAGGCCCACCACAGATGGCATCTGGGGGGGGGTGGAGAATACACAGGATGAGTGTTCCAGCATGGCCACTTGCCTGGAGAACGTAGTGAAGCTTTTGGGTCTTATTGAAAGAAGGCGGGTCAACATTCAGGTGTGAAGCCACTGGCCGATTTACATGGGGGGGGGGGACTGCAAAGGGAAGCGACTCACTCCCATCTGGAGATCGCTGCACGGGATGGGGGGGGAATTATCTCCACTGTGCTATAAATAGCTGTATAAACTAGCGGTCCCTGGCGGATTGCCTTCCTGCAAGGGTCGTGCATTTCATGTGGAAACATCACATGAGCAAGTGTGTAAGTGAGAGCAAGGGGATGTCTAACAAGCCCCCGCACCCTGTTCGAGGAGGGGGTCCGCTCCCTTGGGGGGGGGGGGGGGGGGGGGGGGGGAACTGTATGAGTCTTTTCATCCAGAAGCTCGTTGCGTACTGCGTACGTATCTTTTCATCTCAGCCAGCTTTTAACACATTGGCAGAAACAGAAAGAAAAAAAACGGCTTTTATCTGCTGGGACGAATCACAAGAAACACAATAAAAAAATCATGTTATGCGTAAGAACCGAATATATATAGGTATTCCCCGAACCAGATCGAGCGCACCTGTAAGCCACCTGTAAACTCAAGAAGGTGACCTTGTCACCTGGAGCTTAATAAAACGAGATCCCTGAGTGGAAAGGCCAGCGGTCACCATGGTGATGAGCTGGACGGGACGGAAGTCTTACCACGAAAGAGTATAGCTGGGAGGAGCGGGTCCGGAGCTCCGGCTTGCACTCCCCGACGCAGAGCTGCACGGGACCGGGGGTGCTGTTGGGGCCCGCAGCGTCCATCTCACACACGATCCTATCACAGGGAAGGCGGATGGCGTGTTAACCGTGGGCTTCGGCCCAAACACCTTGCTGTCACCTCCCCCTAGGTCACGTGACCCAAATGGAGCCTATGGACCTCTGTGCCATGATTCCAGGTGGGCGGATCAGCTGGCGTAATAAAATGGGCCGTCTTCGATCGACTTGGAGAGAAACAAAGGGCAAGACCAACTGGTTGTGGGAGGGAGTTCTTGAGCTCAGAATCGCCAATCTGCTGGCTCGTACCATCTCCGGTCACGGGGGGGTCCTCACTGGCACTGCTGTGCTGATGCAGTGGGCTTTTCCTCACCTCATATCGGGCTATGTAAACCACATGTCACGTATCCTGGACTTTTGGCCCAAAGATAACAGATCTCTTTCCCGATACACTCTCCACCCCCCCCCCCCCCAAGTCTGCTGCAGGGTATCTGCTGATGTCTCCAATCCCGTAACCCAGTGTGGCTGCAGCCAAGACGGTCCTTGGCTCTCTCTCTCCTTGGAAAGCCATATCCGGACCCTGAGCTCAATGCTGAGCCGCTTACGGTGGGTCAGCCATATTACAATGGGGGTGACACCCCGAAAATCCATAAAGATCCTCCTCCTTAATTTTTTTTTTCTTTTTTTTTTGGGGGGGGNGGGGCCCTGGAGCCACTTTTCTAATTTCCCTCTGACACTTTCTACATCGCAGCGTAAATGAATTCACTCCGTCGGCGTCCCAATCGGATTAAGCGGCTGTCAGAGCGGCGCAGGGTTAACGGATCGTCTCTGTAGCCGCCGGCGCGCAGCGCATTTCAATTACGGCCTGCCTCACCTGGGCCAGACACGCTGCCACACCACCCGTGACATGGGGGGGGGGGCACAGGGCGGGGCACCTTCACACTCCCCCTGATACGGCCCTTGTGACGCTGCAGACATTAACCAGGGAGAATGACTGGCAGCCATTAAAAGCCAGAAGGATCCAGATAAAAAACCAAATCCATCAAGTCTTATTTTAGGTTCGCTCATAAAAATGCACGTGGTTTTAAAAAGGGGTATATAATTAATACAGCTGCATGTTCATGTCAAAGGGTCAATCTGAATTTTAAAATTTGAGATGTCACGATTTTACATATGCAATATATATTCAAAATTTATATATATTATTTAAACATCATATTGACTCTTCTGGAAAGAGGCGATCGTGTTTAATGAATATGAAAGGCATGCACATTAAAAAAGCTCTGCTTTCAATTACGGAAGGTTTAGTGCAGCATCAGAGGGAGGGAGACCTGCGGACTGGGTCAGGGATCTGTTTGGGCGGAACCAGGCCCGGAAGATGAGCGTATAGACCTCGCAATCACGCCGTCCCACGTCGGGCTGCCGGCTCCAGAAAAGTCTGTGGCAGTTTATGTATAAATAGATATTCATTAGATATTCATCTCTGGGGGTGCTGGGGAGGGGCGAGTGGTGGCGGGGGCCTGGGAATAAAGGGGGGGCTGAAATGCGGCCTCTCACGCTCACACCTTGACGTCGGCTTGAAAATCACCGCAATGCATCTGTCTGGGGCCAGACAGGTAACAAACAGCGGGGGTCACACCGCGACAGGAAGAATGTCTAAAGGGCCCCTCCCCCTTTCTGTCAAGGCGCACAGCGGGCAGACGGGTGCCCCCGCAGCAACGACCGCAAGGGGCGGCGCGGGGGGTGGGGTGGCCGGCATCTCCCCGTGTCGGATCTTTCATCTCCTCATGAGGTCCGTAGACCACGGGCTGCTCATTAAGGCAGTGCCACGGGGCAGCTGTCAGTCCCCCATGCTGCCGTGCAGGGCATGCACATCTTAAACCCCACAGCACATTAAATGCGACGGAAGTGCCTGGGGAAGACAAAGGGGAGCAAATATGACAGCTGGAGTAGGGCTGCATGCTCGCAGGAACGCACGTCCCTCAGTGCCGCGCACCGGCGGGGGGGGGGGGGGGGGGGGGGCCCCCCCCCCCCCCCGGCCCCCCGGGCGGGGGGGGGGGGGGGGGGGTTGTGGCCCGCCCTGCACATCTGGCCTGGTTTCCAAAGGGGCCGAATGAGCAGATGGGATCTGGGAGGAGACTTTGCCTCGGCTCATGAGTGCATCCACGCAGACACACGCAGACACACGCAGACCCACAGATGCACATGCAACGTGTGTGACAAACGCTGTCCAGCTCAGTGCACAAGCAGAGCGGCGCAGCAAAGAGAGAGGAACCGGATGTGGAGCCGGGTTTCCGCCTGAGAGCAGAAATGCCAGGCCGCCACAGGGCACACGCTCATGCCAACTTAGAGACACACAGCGCGGGGAGGAAGTGCGGCGGCACAGAGCGGAGGCAGGATTCGAACCTCCAGCCCTCAGGGCCTGAGCTAACATGTGACCTCTATGTCTCCCATATCTGTATATATTTTACATTTAAATTTGACATTTTTGGGGCCCCCTGCCCCCAGGTGTCCACATTATAAACAGGAACCCATCATGAGGGACGTACTGCTCGGCGATGATGTAGCCGTCCTCCAGGGGGGTGCACTGGACCCCCGCCACGTCCACGTTCCCCAGAAGCTCAGGGAACGCCAGGCCCAGGTTGGTGCCGTGGATGGTGACGCGTGTGCCCCCGGCGGGGGGCCCTGCGATTGGAGTCACCTGCAAAAAAAAATGGGGTCAGTATTTTATAAATCCACATCTGTACATCCTGGGTGGGAAAACGAAAAACTCCCCTTCCTGTTATCTGGAGAGGAGCCTTCTTCAGATCTGCTTGCCGTTGCCATCGATGGTAAATCTACCAAGGGGCCGTAATGACGCTTACAACTGCCCACCTTGCAATAAAATACAATATGGCCGCCCAGCAGGAGCCCAGCCCGCGTGGCACCGCGCCTCCCGGGCTATAAAAGCCGGCCGCGTCCAGGACCTGGCCGACCTCCAGCCCGCCGAGCCGAGCATGAATATGCGGAGAAAGCCGGAATAAGAAATGGTACGTCAGAAGTGCGGATGCATGGGGGGTGTTTTAAAGGGTCAGGCCAATCGGGGGGGGGGCTGCTTTCAGCTGCCCCTGTCTCATGCAGCTACCCAGCTGCCTAGTGCCGCTCCCTTGCACTGCATTATGGGATATTATGGTCGCCACAGGCCTGAATGTGTAAATTCTCAGCAGAATCTGGAGATACAATAGTCAGGGGTTTGGGGGGGGGGGGGCAGCTAAATGTAAATATACAGGGTGATAATGGGGGGAGCCTTAGACCACAGGCAGGTGACATGGGCGGCAAAATGGCGAGCAGACAGCCAGTGACCAGTGGACCCCTGGCCAAACCATTCTCTGACCTCACATATAAACCCCCCCCAATTCAAAGCCCCTATTAATCAGCAGACGATTAACATCCCATAGCCTCTCTTCATCAGTATCTCCCCCCCTGACCTGGCTGACTGTCCGTTGACAGCGGCATGCAAACGGCCGGCCTGAGTTCCTACACATGGTCCAGTGGACGGATACTGGGCCTTATATGAGAAGCTGACCTGGCCCTGTCAGCGATGTCACACCCCAGCCCACAGGGAGCCTCTGTCGATTTGCCTGCTCGCACATGCTTTACCCCACACATGCACGCCCCCCCCTCCCCCAGCGTTCAAAGCCAGGGGTGTAATCCTTTTAAGCAGCTCAGTATTTCATGGTGTCAACCAGGGGTAACATCCGGAAAACGGGGTCCCATTCAGATGGCCGCCAAGCTTCCAGGACATGGGGGGGGGCGGGGGGGATGACCCGCATGGATACACACAGAGGGCTCGGATCCATGCTAATCCGGAGGAAACCTCAAAAAGAGGAAGCCCCCCCACAAATGTCAGATAATCCGTGTGTTGTGAATACCGTCATGAAGCACTGGGGCCAAGACGAGGGTGGGATTTAGGGAGGGGGGGGCATAAGCCAAGACCAACTGCTTGCAGAATGCCAGCATTTACACCCTGATGCACATTATGTAATGGTAGGAAGGCTGCAGTGATCCAGTAGTGATCCAGTAGTGATCCACTGGTCATTCACTGGCGATCTGTAACCCCAATGGTAGCTGCCATGCCCGAATCCTGAAGTGGCTAGACACCGTTAACTTTTACACAAGTGTGTGTGCATCAGGGTCTGCACTCAAGTCAGGCCAGTGAGATCCAACCCCAGTACGGTTTGATCCCAGCAACATCCGGACCCAGTGAGATCAGATCCCAGTGAATCAACTGGCCACTGCAGCCCCACTCTTTGGAGCCAGGTTGCCACAGTTACCTGCCGCTTGACACCACACCACCTCACTGAGGAACGGGAGACCGAGGAGAAAAGAGTCTCAGCCTCCTTTTTTGGCAAAGAACAGCAAAGAGGGAGGGGGAAGGTTTAAGCAGAGGGAGGCACCGTCTTTGAAGGGAGAGGCGTAAACAGGCCTTAGACGTGGCTGCCACTGCAGGCTGCTTGGGCCCCTTTCATCCAGGAGCACCATGTTTTATTCATCGCCTTTTCGATGGTGTCCCCCCTGCCCTTTACCGCATGGAGGTATGGGGGGTGGGGGGAGGTGGGCCTGGTGGGCAGAGTCGAGGGGCAAAGGAAATGGCTGGGTGGGGTCTGCTTTGGCAAATTTGGGGTGTGTGTCCTGGCAGTGGGGGAGTGTGTGACAACAGGACCGGTATCTTCAGCAACAAAACAGGCCTCGCACACCCCCCCCCCCCCAAAAGACCACACAGCTGTGCCAGGGCAGCACCATTCCAGACCTCTGCGCCAGACCACGCCCTTCCTCAGGCTGAATGCCGGCGTTGTAAGACCTGAGCCGGACTGTGGGAAGCCTGGGAAGGTGTGATCCAGCAAAAGCCCCCCCCCCGAACACCCACGTGTACACACACGCCACGCCAGGCGCTAATCTGATTACCCCTAATCCAACCACAGGCCGCCAGACAGTGAGCCGGAGCAACATCTGGCTCGTCCCCGCATCTCATGTCGGCCCCGCAGGGACCAGCCCCCGCATCTCGCCGATGCTTTGATCACCATGGCAACCGCCAGGAGGACCGCGGCCACCGCTACCGCAGGGTCCTCACTGCCTCGCACCGGGAGCAGACAGCCCCCGCGTGTCCCGCTTGTGGCTCCGGCTCGCACCCGGATCTTCTGGCTCATCTCGAACAGCTGAACCGTCGGATAACGCACCTTTCGCGGGACTTAAACTCCACTAAATACGAGAATTAAATATTCATGGCGTACGAAGCTTTGTAAACATGCGCCATTGCAGTAACGGCATGTACACAAAGCGGATTACGGTGACCGGAAGATAAGTGATGAATTATTCAGCATAAACGCATTTACATGACAAAAAAAAAACACACACAGAAATCGACTGTGTCTCATAATAGAAGATAATTCCCTTTTTTAAAAAAATTATTTTTAATGTCTGCGTTAAAGCAAGAAAAACAGCCGGTGCTTTTCCACTTAAGGCAATTAGTATAATTAGAAAAATTCAAACCAGATTTACAGGCAGACGACTCGACACATTTATGGGTGAGAGTTTACAGGAAGCATGATGCCACAGACAATATCTACTAGCTAAAAATGACGACAGCCGTAATTCTAGGATTTCTTTAAGGAGGGGAGGGCACAAGAGCCATAATTCATATAGAGGGACCAGCGTTATCTTGAGCCAATGATGTGATTTGAATCAGGAGTGACGGCGGGGGGCAGGTGGGGAGCTCTGGGAGCCTATCAGATTTCAACAGGACCCGTGCATCTGTGACCAAAATGACAAGAATGCTTTGTTTAGTTTCACCCAACTAGAGATGCACTTCAGCTCTGGGGTTACTCTTCATCTCAGTTTCTGTGCACAAGTTTCCATCACTGTTGCTATGGCCACCAGGCCCTAAGAAGTTAAGGGTGGGGTACAGTCCAGGGAGGGCAGGATTCGGACTCCTAGTGCCCCCATCCATTAGCCCCCAGCAGGGCCTGCTGGCCGACGGTCAGGCCGAGACAGACGGGCAAGCTGTCTCCTGCAGGGCCCTCCGGCGCCGCCCACGAACCAAGCACCTGGGCTCCTCCAAACGAGGCTCAGTCAGGCAGGGCCCAGCAGTCAGCCTAAGGCAGGGGAGGGGGGTGCTTCCTCGCTATCGCTACACTCCTTTCCTTCTTTTATATACCTTTAATAGCCTGTTTCTCTACCTCCCCCCCCAATTCCAGTCCATTGGTATGTTCCTCTCCCCTACTCCACTGCCACAATTTTGCATGTTCAGCACACACACACACACACACATACACACACATACACAGCAGATGGTTGTATGTGAGCAGGTAGAGTGTTTAAAATACGACCAGATGAAAAATGAAGCTCTTATTCATATCATGCATTTCTTTTTTTGAAGAACAGGCAGACAGTGAGAGGCAGGGGGACAGAGAGAGAGGCATGACAGGCAGAGCTGAGCTATTAGCACGTAGCATTGGCTCGCTGTTTAACACTGCAAATCAATTACAGGAACTCATTAACTTTAGTTTTTAATTGCCCTGTGTGCAGAGAGGCTGACAGAGGGGCACCGGGATGCGAGCGGCCAGGAGAATCAATGTGCAGGTGCCGGAGGCAGGCCGTTTACCCACAGTGCACTGGTGCGTCACCAAACATAATTAAACACAGTGTCTCCGCGAAACTCCCAGCCCAAAAAGGCCGCACAAAGGGGGCCGGAGCGGAACGAGGGGGACTCTTGGGGGGGGGGCAACTGGGGGTGACAAGGGCTGCGTGTGACCGGGGAGGAAACAGCCTGGCGTTAGTGAGAATGCCATGGGGATCCTTGGGGAGAGGTCACGACCTTTCCGCTCGTTACCGTGGAGGATGGCTGGGCCTCCTTCCCGGGGTGCTGGGGGGGGGCATCAAGCGGAATCCCAGCCCTCGCGATGGGCTGTGACATATCCACACATGCATGCACACACACACACATGCACACACACACACACACACACACCTGTGCTTGGCTGCAGAATCAAACAGCAGCTGCCCTCTCCCCATGTGCTGATCCCCCGCGCAGCATCAGCACCGCAGGCATTTGCCAGGCCAGCCCCCCCCCCCCCCCCCCCCAGGACCCTCCCACTGCCTCCCTGTGATAGTACAGGAGCTGCCATCTGCTTTCAGGCGGGCGGGGAGGCACTGACCTCGGTGATGCGCGGGTTGGTGCACTTGACGTTGCGGCTGGACAGGTCGAGCCAGCGGCCGGCGTAAGCGGGGCTGAGGCAGTGGTGCCTCAGGGTGCAGTGGGCCTCGCTGCTGCACCAGCCGCATTGAAATTTGCGCTCTGCTTTCAGACACATTCCGCAGCTGTCCCGCTGTGCCGCGCACTTGTACAGGTGAACTATTGGGGCGGGGGAGGGGGGGTGGTGGTGGGAGGAGAGAGAACTTGGTGATGCAATCTGGCATGCTCAAATATTACTTGGAATGGGGAACTGGGCGTGGTTATTAGGGGCTAGTAATTGCACCCCTGGTTAAGCCCCGCCTCTCACTTTGATTGATTGACAGGATACAATAAGTCCGGCCCACTGTGGGTTTGGAGTCTTATTCCTCCACTGTTAGAGGCAGGGATTCATTTACTTTCCTGGTGTCCAGGCTGCTGACTCAGGACTCTGTCGGGGATCCTTGTTTTCCAACTGGCACGATGCCGTTTGTTTTTTTTATATCATCAGTATCTGCATGTTTTAATCCTATTTAATGTCTGGCAGCTTTTTTCAGCAAAAATTAAAAAAAAACACACACACACATAAGTGCTTAAAATTTCCTGTAGAGTAAACAATTACTTGTTATTTCAGGAGGCATCACAACTAACCAAAGCGTTGGGCCACAGGGGATGCTGAACTGCACAGCGTCTGGAGCACAGGGCCAGGGGCTCATCCCTCAGCTAGAGACCCCC